TTTGTTTGCAGGATGGAAGAAGAATTGGCAGCCCCTTCCACATCCACAGACAAGACAGACAGGTGAGGGAGTCGGGACTGTCGGTCACTGAACAACATGAAATTCAGGAGTTACTGAGTAAAACACAAAAGTCACCCTTCGAATCACATGGTTAGGGTTGGGGTTTAACTGATGTGGGTGCTGTAGGTACTGAAAACTTGTGCTCACCCGTGGTTTGCACAAATCTAGAGCAGTAAAACCATTTCAAGGACTAATAAATATGCAAATAGCAGCTGTTCTCAAAGTTCTTGGTCTGTGAGTTAGTGCTGGGGAGGCCCAGACTGGCATGTGACAATACTCTCTTGTCCCAGTCTGAGATACTGTGCTGGGCTGAACCTTCTGGAAATAAAGCTGTGCAGGATGGAGTGAATTGAAACTGAGATTTCCATCTGTCATTCTCAGCTGCATCATGCTGTGCTATGAAAAGTCTTAACTTGGGCTTATTCTTCTTTTTCTTGACTTAGCTAGCACTGGATTCTGGTGAAACACTGGTACTCAGTGCTGTGTTTCTGTGCAACTCCTAAAGTGTATTCCTTAGCACCCTTTGCCATACCAGATTCTGATACTTTTTGCAGTGGTTGGTTCAGATTTGCTTGTCTTCCCTTGGTTATTGGAACTATTAAGTTGTTCCACATTTAAACAAACAAAACCAAACGAATCCCTGCTGCTAGTTCCAACTGCTGGAACTCACGCAACTCCCTCTTCCATAAAGCTGCTTAGATTTTGAAAGCTGTCTGTGAAATGACTGTGGAAACTAACAGCATCCTGTATTTGACTTATTTCCCCTCCTCCAGTATGGATGTGGACGGAGAATCAAAGAAACTACTGGGTTTGGGGCAGAAGCACTTGGTAATGGGAAATATTCCGGCTGCTGTTAATGCATTCCAGGAAGCTGCAAGTTTACTGTGAGTAGTAGAATGTTCTGTGTGTTTTTGCAGGGCTGGGGCTTCAGCTTGGCTGTTCTGATGTGGCTCACGCAAGAAAGATTGGGATTTTTACCTCACATGTTTGTAATTTACGATAGAACTGAGGAGAGGACAAACTAAATTCCCCCAAGTGCTGGGCAGTGCTGTAGCTGGTGTGCAGCTTAGATGGTTTTTGTGATAATAATTGCCAGTGCAGTTCCCTAGGGAGGAAAAGGGCTTTGATAGTTTATTTTGCAGGGGTCTTTTAATATAAAAGCAATGAGATAGTGTTATTTTCTGGTACTGTGTTCACTAGTCTTCTTGATCAGTCTCTGAGAATGGTACTTTTTGGGTTAGAGACTAATTTCCTTTGCGTGTGTTTGAAAGCCACATGAAAGCTAAGTGAGGGGAGCGTTCATTATTAGTTTAAAGCAATGAAAGGGGAGGCAAAAAACTGATTTCTTCCTGTCCAGGAAAATTTAGCTTTCAAGTTCACGTATCAAAACCTAAAGTAGGCACAGGCAAATAATTCTTCATTATTTTTCTAGGGGTAAGAAATATGGTGAGACAGCGGATGAGTGTGCAGAAGCTTTTTTTTACTATGGAAAGTCTCTCCTGGAGTTGGCAAGGTATGGTGACAGTTTGGAAGTTGTCAAAGAGTCTGTCTGGTGTAACAGGATTTCACTCCTTTATGGACAGGGTTGCACTAGGATGGGATACAGACAGGATTGCCCTGGGTGGGATGGGCTGTGGCATTGCAGCTTGGGCAGTTCAAGTGGTGACGTATTTACAAGAGCCAAGGGGATAACAAGCTTTTGTTCCCTTCAGAATGGAAAATGGTGTGCTGGGAAATGCCTTAGAAGGGATGCAGGTGGAAGAGGAAGGAGAAAAAGCAGAAGATGATTCTGCCTTGCCAGCTGTTGATGGTAGGTAAAGCTGCCTGCCCTGGTGTGGAGGCACCAAACTCTATGTTCTTGCTGAAATGATCCAAGTTTAGTCCATTGGTATCTTGGGTAGCCTGAACTGTTCTGTTGAAACTCTTGGCAGTCTGAATGGACTTTTTTTTGTTTTGTTTTGTTTTTGTTTTTTGGTTTTTTTTTAGTCTTGCTTTAAAATGAGCAAAACCTATAAAACATCTGCAAGGAGCTGGTCACTGAAAGCATATGTAAAGGGTCACCAGGTGTCTGTGTCCTGAAACACTGCACTCAAGCTTGCTTTCCTAAGCTTCACCGCTGACTTGAACTGCTTTGTAACCTTGTAGCAGTACAGTGTGTGTAGTCCAGCAGGTCAGAGTCTCTGTAAAAAGCCCAGGAACAGTGACTATTTTATACTGCCTGCAGCTGGAGATGATACAGGAATTCCTGTCCATCCAGACTATTAAAACACTGGCACCTCTTGCTTAGCTGTGACTAAAATCGCTGGCACTGCTTGAGCGGCCGCTTGCAATGCTGGGGAAGGGGAAGGGGTTTGTTTAGCTCAAAGTGACTATGTTGGTTGTGTCCTAATTCCTTGTACTTGGAAAATGAAGCTTTTAAGGAGCGTCATCCAACTTGGTAACAAACCAACACACACTGGAGGGTCTGAGGGTGGTGTTGTCAGTGCCCTTTAATGTCTTTATCACTAAACTCGAAGAAATGTTTATGCTTCCTCAATCATGTAGAAGAAGCAAGGGAGGAGTTGAGAGAACAGGTTTATAACGCCATGGGGGAAAAAGAAGAGGCCAAAAAGTCTACAGAAGAGTCTCCAGTACTTTCTGAGAAGGAAATCAAAGAGGAAGGTCATGAAACGAAAGAGGTTACGGAAGAGAAACCAAAAGAAGAAGCAACTGCTGACAAGGATGTAAAACCTGAAGGGGATGAAGAGAAAATGGAGGTTTCTGTGGGAAAAGAAGAAACTTCAGAAGAGCAGAAGCAGCAGGTGGCTGTGGAAAAGGAGGCTGTGAAAGAGGAGGCAGCTGTGGAGGAGAAGGAGGTAGAAAAAGAGCAGAAGACAGTGCCTGAAGACATGGTGGTCAAGGCAACTGAGGAGAAGGAGAGAACAGAAGTGTCAGACAAGGAGGCAAAGGCAGCTGGGGAAGAGGCTGAAGTGGGAGAAGTGGCTGTGGAAGAGAAGGGAGAGGTGGGAGAACAGGCAGCAGAAGCAACAGATAAAGAGCCAGCTGTGGAGAAGGGAGAGGCTGGAGAAGGGCAAGCAGAGGCAGCTGTGGAAGAGAAGGCAGGAGCAGAAGAGAAGGCAGAAGGACAGGCAGCAGCTGCTGTGGGGCAGAAAGAAGCTGCAGAAGGGGAAGCAGAGGCAGCTGAACAGAAGAAGGTGGAAGAGAAACAAGAGCTAGTAGAGACAGCTACAGAAGAGAAACCAGGTGAATCTAAAGAGACAGAATCCTCAAAGGAACCTGTCCCCACAGAGGGCAAAGAGCCACCTAATGACCTGGAAGAAAAGGCTGAAGTTGCTGCTAAGGTAGAGAAAGAGGAAAAGAAAGATGACGTGATGGAAGAGGGTGAAGGTGCTAAGGTAGAAAAAGAAGAGAAAGATGACGTGATGGAAGAGGGTGAAGGTGCTAAGGTAGAAAAAGAAGAGAAAGATGACGTGATGGAAGAGGGTGAAGGTGCTAAGGTAGAAAAAGAAGAGAAAGATGACCTGATGGAAGAGGGTGAAGGTGCTAAGGTAGAAAAAGAAGAGAAAGATGACCTGATGGAAGAGGGTGAAGGTGCTAAGGTAGAAAAAGAAGAGAAAGATGACCTGATGGAAGAGGGAGAAGGTAACACTGAGAGGAGAAAAGTATTTGTGGGTGGATGACTTGATGGATTTGGCTAACAGTGGGTAAAAAGTGTTCCATTCAGAATTTTCTGTTTGCCTTAGAATAAGGAAAAGGCACAGTAAAGGGGCTCTTGAAAGACTTTACATCCAAGTAAAGTTTCAAGGAATAGTGAATAGTCTCAGTTTCTCTAGACTAACGCTTAACTAACTGCAAAGCAAATCTGGAAAGCAAACTGACAGCCCTGTGAAATGTGTAAGTAATGGCTAGGCTGGTGGAGAATACTGAATGGATGTTCACTTGCATGCACCTGGGTTTATTGCACTAACCTCCAAATAACTTGAAGCACAAGTTGCCTCTGGTTATGCCTGTATTTTATTTATGATGAAAAAGCAAGAATAGCTGAACACATAACAAAATAGTGAATTCAGTTTTGGTGGACGGAAGGAACTCCCCATTTGAGTCTTTCTGGTGGTCCATCACTAGTGAGAATTTAGTTGGCAAATCTAAACTTGATTTGCTGAAGGCTTATTGCTGCTCTCTAGTACAGTCTTCCAGCTGTCTAGCTTCTGCCCTCTGCTTCCCTGCTTTATCACAGCTGTTTTCAGGATTTTGTTGGAGTAACCCAGCAAGACCTGCACCCTTTGCTGCAGTATTACTGTACGTGGCTTTAGCAGGCCGGTGCCTTGTATTGCACAAGTTAATTGATGAGCTGATAATTGCAACTTTGCTTGTCAGAAACTTGGCTTCACAGCATGTGCCTTACTTCAGGAGAGGCAGATGTTCAGACTGGATAATTCTGGACACTGAAAGGGTTTGTTCTGCTAAGCACAGTGAACACTCAGTGGTGGAGCAGCAGCCTAACAAGGTGTCTGTGTGGAGAGAGTATGACTGAACATAAACTAAGAGTAGTTACCTGCTCATCGTCCTGTGAAAGCCTGGCTATGTTCACATACTGCTGCTTTTTTTCCCCCAATTCTGCTAAGTGTGAGGACCTATTGAACATCCTGGCCTGGTGCTGTCATTGCAGACTCCTCCCACTACTTAAATTTTAACGTCCTGACATCTCTTCTGTTTCACTTATGAAGGAGGTGTCCTCATGTTGACAGGTTTGGCCCTGCCAGTGGTAGGTGTGTGCTTTTTGGGAGCTAGACTAATGAGTTCACAGGCTCTCTAGTCCCCACCCCATCAAGCTCCTGTTGTTCTGGAATTAGCCAGGGGTTGTGCTACAGGAATTGTGTGACTTCAGCATTCAGATCAGCCAATTCTCTGAAGTTATTAGCCATGCTCCTTCACTTCACATTTTCCCCAAATGTTTTCTGCTGGCAGAATAGGTAATGTGATGCTCCTGCAGGGTGTCAGGAGTCAAATTAGTGCCACACAACAGGAGGTTCATTAATAACACTGTCCCTTAAATCCCTGACATAAGGAACATGAACTCAGACTAATTTGTGTGCAGCTTGGCAGCTATCTTGCTGAAAATACTTGTTTTATGGAGGATGAAGTTCATCAGCTGCCCAGTGCCTCCAGGGCTGCTCAGGATCCCGTGGGTTCAGTGGGAGCTCACGGTGTATTTGTGAGAGCTAAATTCTGTGTGAGTTCCTGTTGTAGGTAGTAAGAAGTTTAAATGACAGACTACTTTAGTCAACAGTGCTGAACAGTTTCAGCAAGATGGCTGCTGCTGCTGCTGAGAATTTAATGTACCTGTGCTCTTCTTCCATCACACCTAACCTGTCACTGGAAGGATGAGGGTTGGATGTACTATATTCTGCCTGACTCCATGTCAAGCAAGCACAGTAACAACAAGTGTTCTCATCCATCTACTTGCCTTGTAGAAACAGAAGAATCTGAGGAGGAGGATAAAGAAAATGATAAAGCTGAAGATGATAAGGAGAATGAATTGACAGTGGAAGACAAGGTGAGGTTGCTGAGCTCTGATACTGCTCACGGGAGGGTGCAGTATTACCCTAAACATCATGTTATAAAAGTTCACTTGTGTTTTATTTAGTCCTATGTAGGACATTACTTTTGAAAGGCAGTATTGCCTAAGGAAGGGCCGGTGTTGCACCCAGTCCACATTGTGGGATCTTGCTCAGCTGTGTCTGTAAACCTGGGTTTGTTCAGCTGCTCTGAAACAAATTCTTGTGGTCTGCTGAGTAACATGGCCTGGTAGTGCAGGGGCAGTGCTGTAGCCTGTCACTAAAGCTGTGAGTTTATTCTCTGCTTGTTTTGTTCTTTCACTATACATGTTGTATGCTTCTGCTCCAGTAAGCTGTGATTAGCATGGGAATGGATTGAGGAGTGTGGTGCTGCTCAAACCTGAGATGTACATTGATGTAGCAGCCAAAACAGCTGGAAAAATCTGAAGCCTCGTAGTGTGAAAATAAGCATTCTAGATAACTGTCTTTAAATGATTATCTGTCCCTTTCTCAGACTACTCTAATAAAGTTCAAAGGTTCATTAAAAAAAAAGGTAGATCTAAACAGCACCTTAAACAAAATCTTCCTCTTGAGATGATATTGGTGCTTGGTGCCCTGATATTTCTGGGGAAAAAAAATTAATGAGGCCATATCAACAAACTGAGTTTATGTTCCACTGAACCATCTTCACTGCAGGCGAAGTCTTGATTGATGCAATAACCTCTTCTACATATTATTGTTCTTCTTTTCCTTCTAGTGGTAAACTGTTTATCTCTCATGAACTTCTGGTTTTTGCAGGAAAGTGAGGAGGATGAAATTGGAAATCTTGAGCTAGCCTGGGACATGCTGGAGTTGGCAAAAGTCATTTACAAGAGGTAAAGACTTGAGTTTTAATTTGGATATATGCCAGAGAAACTCTGTAAATTGGAGAGTGGCATAACCACTTGGTGAATGTGCCATATTCTGATCAGGACTTGGAAACTATTTTTTTTTTCTTGATTTAGACAAGAAACAAAAGAAGCTCAGCTCCATGCAGCTCAAGCTCATCTGAAGTTAGGAGAAGTTAGCATTGAATCTGGTAAGTAATGTTAATTCTCATGTGCAAAGTGTTCAGTTCCACTTTCTGACACTGTTTTGTACTTTAAAATGAGCAGAGGTGCATTAAGGCTCTCAGAATGAAAACAAATTAGACTGATCATGGTAGTTGCAGCCATGTGAGAAGCTTTGGCATCAATGGATGAACTGAGTTGGTGCCTTAAATGGGATAGTTGTGCTTTTCCAGAGCAGTGAAAGAAAAAATTTGAGTAAGAAATGTGTTGTCAGATCAAAATCAGTCATGTGTTCCATTTTCTGAAGTGACCAAACCTTGCCTATGAACTTAAAAGAGACTTACTGAAGCAAAGAGTCACTGAGCTTAATTAATAGGAGGTGCCAGTACCGTGCCATGTCAGAACATAAAGACTGCAAATGAAAAATGGTTGACTTAGACTTTCCAAAATCCTCAGGTATAGTGAGGAAAGACTCTTGTGTTACACAGCAGAAAAAAGGAGTGGGAAGCAAGCCCCAGGTTTGTGCCTTCTGATGTTTCACCTGCCTTTCATTTGAAAACATAATTTAATCTTGTTAAATCCAAGTGTACTCCTTCTCTGGGGCAAGCATTGGAAATGATCCAACAGGTTTCTGGGCCGGGGCTACAAATCAAAGGTTGTCTTATGTCACTGGAGCACCTTCAGGGGAGAGCTCGGCGGGAGGGCGGCAGGGGACTGTCCTTGGCTCCAGATCCCTGTTGCAGCTGGGACCTGTTACATTGAATTCATGGTAGCAGGTTGAACAGGAGGATTTAGTGCCTGGTTTGACTGTGCTGGAAGTAGACAAAACACTCGTGAGATAACTTCAGGAACTGGACTAGACGGTCCCTGAGGGGGAGGCAGTGCTGTCAGAGCAGCTGCCGTGTTCTGTGTGTGGGCTGTGTGGGGTGTGACAGAGCACGAGAGATCCACTGAGGGCTTGGGTCGTTTGGATGATTAGTGTCTTTTGTGAAGACCTTGTGGCTTTTCTCCCGTAGAAAACTACACACAGGCTATAGAGGAGTTCCAGGCCTGCCTGGCCCTGCAGCAGAAGTACCTGGAGGCTCACGACCGTCTGCTGGCCGAGAGCCACTACCAGCTGGCCCTGGCCTACCACTACAACAGCGACTTCGACGAGGCCGTCCTGCAGTTCGGCAAGTCCATGGAGGTCATCGACAAGAGGCTGGGTAAGTAAGTGGATTTCTAAAGCTCTGTCAGAGTTGTGTCGAGGCAGAGCAGACTCTGTTTAACTGAGGTGTGCTCGTTGCCTGCCCTGGGGTGGCAGACGGACCACACCCACAGCAGAATTGTGGAAACTGTGTGTGTGTTAGCAGATAGTTGACTCTGGATGTTGATAACTGGACAGTTACTTTGTCTCAAGGTGTTTTGCCCTGATAACTGTTTCACCCCAGCCATACTGACTGAGAGAATAAAGCAAGCAGAAAGCGGGTCCCCTGAGGATGAGAAGGAGATTGAAGAGCTGAAGGGATTGCTTCCTGAAATTAAAGAAAAGATAGAAGATTCAAAGGAGTCTCAAAAGAGTGCAAGAGTAGCCGAGTTGGGACTGAAAGCAACTCTGGTGAGTGTGTCCTGTGGTTTCCTTTTGACCCAGCATTCTTCCAGTGGAACTTTAAGTAAATCAGTCATGGGAGGAGCTTGGACTTGATCAGGGGCTGATGGTTGCTCACAGGTGTTACAGGCTGTGATTCTCAGAAGGAAACTGAGGCAGCTGACATCTAAAGAAAGGATATTTAGTAAGTACCTTGACAGTAATTGTTCCAAACTAAATGGGAATTTGATAGGTTACTGTGGCATTTAATGTATTAGGGCTGGAAATGATGGGTCAGGCAAACGTGGAGCAAATGTTGTCTGTCCTGTGTAGAAGTGCACAGTACAGTGCTGGGACTTGAAGGGGTTGGGCTTTCTGTCTCCTGCTAAGCTTGCTTGAATGGTCTGCACACAATCTGTTCACTGCTTCTTCTGCTTTTCTTAAGATTGGAACTACATCTGGCTTTGCACAAAGTGAAGACAGCGGTTCTGTTTCCACAGTAAGTTAATTTGAGATGGATGTTGTTAATGCCTGTCTGCTTTAAGGATTACTGGTTACAGTTGCTCATGTGTCAGTGTCTGTCTTGTAACAGATTCCAGTAAGAAAAGCAGCTGATGGTGCATCTCAGTGTGTTACAGACATCTCTCACCTAGTCAGGAAAAAGGTGAGTCCGGAAATGACTTGTTGAACAAGCAGTTCAAGTACTACTGTCTTGCTCTTTGTAATTGGATTTCTTGTTTTAGAGCTTTTTTTTTTTAACTCAGTTGTATAATGGGAAAATACTTTAAAAGTAAAACCAGAAATAGTGCATGAAACTCCTTTCCACTGGGAGCCAATCAGTCTGGGAACCCTGACCTCCAGGAGACCATTCTTGGTGGTTCAGTACCAGCCTGACCATGGTGTAACTTCTGACCCTGTTGTGTGGCTTCTGCAGGTGCTCTCTGAACAAGGGCTTCCTCTGCTGAGGACCCTCAAGAGCTGCAGGCTCACCTGCAGATCTCAAGGAGAAAGGGCAGGCAACCAGGCTGGGCTGGGTTCCCTTCTTCCAAAAGGAAATGGAGACTTGGGCTTAATAAATAGCAAAGCCATAGCGATGGTAATGATAAAATGGAGATGAGATGTTGAGCACTCTGTTCCTTTAAAGGTGTGTGTGTTCTCTGGAAGTGTTGATATAACTGAGAGTATCCCCTGTAGGAACTTTAGTTTTTAATGTTGCCTGTGGCCATGTCACAACCTGGCCTCTGTTCCACTGGCTTCTGTGAGTTCAGGTGTGCCTGGAGTGACTTGGAGCTGCTTTACACGGGTGATTTCAAGTGTTGTAGATGCCCTGAACCTACCCTGGAACTGTTACTGGGCTCAGTGGTTGCATTTCCTTGCCAGAGTGTAATCAAGGATAATTCAGCACTAGAGATTCTGGCACCCAAACAGTGTCTCACTGGAGATTGCTGTGGTTGAGACCTTGGAGCCAGAGCCTCAGAGCTCTGTTAAACCCTGGCACTGAGGTGTCTGTCCTGAGCCTGGCAAGCACAGCTTGGGTAGATAATGTGCAGTGACCTATAATGCTAAGTTTTCTCAAAAAGATTAAGGCTTTAATTTGTACTTACTGAAGACTATAAACAATTTTGTCTTCAGAGGAAACCAGAGGAGGAGACTCATCAGGGAGACAATGAAGCCAAGAAATCTAAACCAGAACCGGCTGTCAATGGTGGTGGTGGGGATCCTGCCCCCAGTGGAAATGAGGTTGCAGAAAAAATGGAAGAGGAGGTGGGCAGCTGAGCCAGGAGTCTGGGCTGTGCTCTTTATTTCATTTTCCCCCACTCTGTTCAGGGATGGTTCTTTTGCTTGGTAGATGTGCAGGTTTTATTGCCTGCTGGCCTCCACAGGGCTTCCCAGATGGGATGAGGAATATTCCCAGTGGGCAGGGTGCATGTTGTACTGTGGTGCCTGACCCTGTGTGGGCTGGACAGACCCAGCTGGGGAGCCTTGTCACCTCTGGGGTGGGACAGAGACGGGTTCTGGGAGTTTGAGCTGGGCTAAACTCCAGCACAGGGTCTTCCCCCAGTTCTTCATACTCCTGGGTTTTATTACCCACCCCTGGGCTGCACTTGTTAATATCAGTGCTGTAGGGTAGTATTGGGCTCTGGAGATGAGCAAAGCTCATGTAGTCAGTTAAATCTTCAAATTACAGAACCCTTGGGCTGCTGCATGAGTTGGTGCTGTAAGGCAGTGTCTTGGTTTTTTAAAACAAACCCTTCTCTTCTCTTTTAGACAGAGAAAAGGCCACAACCAGAATCAGGGGCTGCAGTTGAAAGCACAGTATGATAATTCTTTAACCTTGGACACTCCTCTCCTTACAAGGAAAATGGTTTTGTATATAGTGTATTTTTTCACTTTTTGGCAACTTTTGTATGACTTCAATAAAGATTGTAAGCAAATAGTCCCTGTCTTGACCTTCCTCCTGTGCCAGGTTCCAGCCACTGCTCCTGGCTGTTCCCCTGGGGTGCAGGTCTCAGCCCTGGCCCAGTGCTGGGCTCTTGGTCCCTTGAGCTTCAGCATTTCCATCCACATCTGCCTCATGAGGCAGGAGAAGGGGGTAGGATCGGGCAGGCAGAGCTGGCTGCTTCAGGGGAAGAAGAGCAGTGAATGAAATTCACTGTGGTCTTGTCTGGGGACAGTCTAGATGTGACATTTTTCCTTCTCCTGGGGTACCAGCTCTGTGGTCACAGCGGGGGCTGTGCTGGGGTTCAGTCTCAGCTAAGCCTGCTGTGGGTTCTAGGCGTGCCTCCCTCAGCCTCGAGCAGCCTAAAGAGGGGAGGGGAAGGCTGATGAAGAGGTTTGTAACATTCGGGACATTGTTGGATATGTATTTTTAGCTCTGCCCCTCTGTGCAGGGAGAGCTTGTGGAGAGGGAGGGCAGTGGTGGTTCCAGGCAGGGCATGGCTGTCCCCTGGGGCAGCCTGTGTGCCTGTACATTCCCAGGGGGCGAGGGGAGCCTGCTCTGGGACACTGTGTGTGTATAAACATAGACAAAGGCCAAGAAGTGAAGAGCAATAGGCTGAAGCCATTTATTAAACACATGGCCTGTGACACTTAGGAAAGCTGGTGCTGGGTTTTGCTGGGTTGCCAGGGCTGAGCTGTGCCTGCTCCTGGTCAGGCTTTCCCTACAAAGGGCTGCTGCTGGGGATGTGCCCGATGGAACGAGCTGAGCAATAGGGAAAGGGAATGTGATTGTGCTTCTCTGCCTGTCCCCAAACCACCACTGTGAGCAGGATGGAACACTCATCTGGCTGTGGGCTCAGTCCTGGGGCACAAAGGGCAGCCTGAGGTGAAGGCTGAGCTGTGTAACTGCCTGCTGGCTTAGGGGTCAGCCTGATGCTGCCTGTCTTCTCCCTGCTGCCAAAATGCCCAGCAGGGATCCCAAATGCTTCCCCCTATCCCAGCACTGGGTTCCTGGTGCCAGTTACACAGCCAGTCCCAAGCCCCATCTTGTTGAACTGAAGTTCAAACACAGGTTTTGCCATCCTTTCATGACCCTAACAGTTAAAAAAGCCCCGATTTCCCACTCCAGGGTGGTGAGGGGATGCCAGGGCAGTGTGGCCCATTCCTGGCTCACCTTCGTGGAGGTCTGTGTTGTTCTTGGGGCTCCTGAGCAGGAGGAGGGTCCTCCAGGGCCACAAAGGGGCTGAGGGGGAGGCTGTGGGGCACATGGCCTGTGGGGCTGCCTGGCCCCAGTGCTGGCCCAGGGGGCTCCTGGGAAATGAAAGAGGTTGTGTCAAGGGCAGGAGGGTCCTGACACTGTCCTGCTACAGGCACAGGCAGGAGCTGCCTGGCCATTCTGTCACAGCATTGGGTGTGCAGAGCAAATTACACCCCTGCTCCCTCACTGGGAAGGGACTCCCCTGCCCCAGGGGCCCTAATCCCCAGCTGCAGCCAAGGCAGCTGTTCCCAAATCTTCCCAAGCTTGTACCTCCACATCTGTCATCCTATGCCAGTTGGCAGCCCTTCTCCCATCTCCCTTCTCCCCTCCCTGGAGAGCTAGAAATCGCCTTGGGCCAAGGCTCTTACCATAAAAAGTTCTGGCACAGCCAGGGCTGGTGGCAGTGAGGGGGCCACAGCGGGTGGGAGGATGGGTGGGGGCAGCCGTGGCCCCGCCTGCTCCGCGTGGCATCGCAGCATCCCCACCTCTGCCTGGAGCTGGGCCAGCTCCTCCGAGTGCCGCTGGGCCGCCCTCGAGCCTGGGGACAGGAACTCCTTGCTGTGGGGTTTACGCTCCCCCAGCAAACCTTTCCCGGCATGTCACTGGGCAAGTGTTCAGGATCTGGGGGAGTCGGGACTCTCCCTTCTCAGTGCAGAGACCCCACCCTGGGCTGTGCAGCTGCAGCCCCCCAACTTCCCCATATTTCCATGAGTCATGTCCAGCCCAGAGGCTCTGATGCTGCAGCCCCAGAAGCAGCCAGGGGCTGTGAGGTGCAGATGGGGGACCCCCTTCCCCAGGACCCATCACCTACCAGCGTCAGCTCTCTTCTCTCTCCTGACCTTCAGCGCCAACACTTCATCTTCCAGACGCCAGTTTTCCAGCTCCACAGCCAACAGTGCTGCATCCAGACCCTGTGTGGCAGTGCCAGGGGGCTCTGCTGGCACAGCCAGGAATGCTTTAGGTGCTGGCTGTGGAGTCACAGTCCCTGCAGAGAGACGGGGCTGGGGTTGGGCCTTACCCATCCTCCTGCCCCTGCACAGCCCTGCGGTTCCTTTCTCCAGCACCGTGGCCTCCAGCTGGAGGTGGAGCAGCTGGTCCAGGATGGCCGGGTCGTGTCCCCCGGCGCGCAGGTAGGACAGTCGCAGTGCCCTGCCAGAGCCCCGGATCAGCCATCGCTGGGCTCAGCGGGACACTCTGCTGGACCTGCCATGGCCCACAGCCCCTCACCTGGCCTCGGCAGCGAGCGGCCCCGAGGGTGGCAGGAGGGTGTCGAGGTGGAGGGTGGCCCTGGGGAAGAAACGGGCAAATGGGGGGGTGAGGAGGCCAAAGGCTCCTTGATGGAGAGCACCCCCCTGGGCTCTCCCCCGGAGGTGGCAGAGCTGGGGCTCACCTGTGCTGTGCCGCTTGCTCCTGTCTGAGCTGCTCCTTTGGGGCCTGCCAAGGACCTGGCCCAGCCCAGCTGCACCTGCTCGGGCTGAGCCCCCCAGCCCCCTCCCCCCAGTGCCTGCAGCTGCCGGCAATCAGCCTGTGGGAAGGTTGAGGGGAGAGGGGGGCTCAGAGGGCCCCACAGCCCACTCCCTGAAGGGTTGCTGCAACCACAGTGCCCGCCATCACCCCTAAACCGCTGAACAGTGTCTACCTTCACTCTGTGCTCCAGCTGCTGCGGTCCTGCCTGCGATTCTGGCATTTTGGCGTTTGTGGGCCTCCAGCACTCCTGGATGCGGCTGCTGCTGGCCTGGGGCAGGACCGGCTGCTGGGGGGGCTCTCCCTGCTGCACAGGGGGTTCAGCGGGCAGGAGGGGCTGGATCCCCACCAGCTGCGGGGTGTGGGGAGCCGCTGGGGTGCTGGTGCCCACAGGGGCAGGGGGTTCACTGTACCTGCACTGTGGGCGTCCTGGAAGCGGGGGGTCCGGCCGTGCGAGCAGGGCCTCTCATGAGTGGTGAGCACCGGCCCCCAGGGGAGCCCCGTCCACCCGATCCCGCTGTCCCCACACAGCCGCTGAGACCCCAGGGAGCTCAAGGCGATGGTGTGGCTCAGGGCCGTCCCCATGCAGGGACACCCCGACCTCGCAGACACAAACAGGAAGGAAAGGGTGAAAAAAATCCCCCCCACTTACTAATATACTTTTCTGCCTTTGGTAAAATAATCACCAAAGGCTGCCGGCGTGGTGCAGGGGTGGGAGATGGTTTGCCCCAGCTCAGGCCAAGCTGGATCCAGCAATGCTGCCAGAGCTGCTGTTTCCCAGCCCAGCGCCTGTCCCTGTCCCTATCCCATCCCTCCTGCCCCTCCCCGTTCTGGTGGCAGGCCCGCTCGCTTAACCTGGTGTCCGTGGCTCCCTGCCGTGCCCGGCGCCCCCTTCCTCAAGGCGAGGGTTCCCATGGAGGCAGGAGCTGGTGGGCTCCGGGATCCCGAGGCACAGCTTCTCCCGGTGCGCCCGCAGGAGCTGCCGGGAGCTGAACGCCATGTGGCAGCGGGGGCACGGGAAGCTCCCCATGTCCGGCACCCTGGAAAGCAGAGCGGGTGGGGGTCACTGGGGGGGAGGCACCCTGCCAGGGAAAAGGGCTGGGTGCGGGCACAGACCTGCCGGCGGCGGTGCTGGCGCTGTTTGAGCCGCTGTTGCTATGCTGGACGCTGGGCAGGGCAGGGAGGGCGGCCGCACCCCCGGCCTGGGCCATTCCTGCTGTTTACCACGGGCACCGGAACGGGAAAAAAACGTCGTCTGGGCACCTGAGCAATCCACAAAAAGCAAGATGAGGGAGGTCCCGCAGAGCTCCCCCGCCCCTGGTTACAAAACCTTCGCCGCTCCGGGGTGTCCCGGGGGTGCTCCTTTTCCGCCTCCCACCACAGGATTTGAGGAGGAAACTTTGCAGAGGTGAAACACCTCCTTCTGCCCCTTCTCCATGCCGCAGGTGTCCAGGCCCTGCCCTTGTTCCCAAAACAAGCTCCCCTCCTTCCATCCTTGCACCCACCTGTCCTTGCAGAGCACCCACGGGCTCTTCCCAGGCTGCTGCAGGTCCCCCCTAACCTCACTGACAGTGATCCCGGTCAGGGACTCCTCAGGAAAAAGCTGCTGGTTGTTGCAGGGGGATTTGCTCGATCAGGCTCACCCAGAGGCTGACATTGACACTTCCAGAATTTCATGGATACTTAAATCCACAGGAGGGGTTAGGGCAGAGGAATCACTCTGGCACGGAACAAGGAGCTCCCAGCACACACACACAGGCAGGGATTCCTCAGCAATCCAGTTCCTCTCTTCCAAGTGGCTGTTAGCACGGATTTAAGGTGAAGGGGTTTTTAAACTTCCCCCATTTCTTGCCAACAGTGCACACAACAGATCTGCATAATTTGATTTAAATGGATGTAGGAAGTTAAATTTTTAAAAAATGGATGGACTTCTCCAGCCAAAAGCCATGTTTGATGGGACCAAAGCACAAGGACATTCAAAAAGAACGAGACAAGCTGTAAAATGCCTGTCTTACAGGAGTCCCAGCACTTCCCCAAGCATTCCTAGGCAGACCCAGCCCCTGGAGCTCAGTTTCCAGAAGGCAGTGATGAAGAAATGCCCCGTTGCCCCTCTCACCTGGGGTTCCCTGCAGAGGCAGCATCACCATGGCAGCGGGAGCTGAAAGCAGAGGCAGCACAGTTACACCTGATAATGCCGACAGTGCTCCCTTGAGCCCAGACGCAAAGATTCATGGCTAAACATCACAATTTTCTTACACCTCAGTCCTCTCTGCCTGGCCAGGAGTGGACTAAAAACCACACAGGCACAACCTCGTGTGAAAGCCCCTCAGCTCAGCAGGCCCAGGGTTTTGCTCTCGCTGTGCAACTCCATCCAACCCACTTGCAAACACTGCACAACACCCGAGCGCTTTCCAATCCAAAACCTTTGTGCACAAGCTGAACTTACACCAGACACTAAAATAGCTTAGGCCACAACTGAGTTGTTTGTAAAATTCTTTTTAATCTAATAGAAATGTTTTCATGAATTTTTAAAAAAGATTTCAATGAAAACAGCTTTGGATTCAGACATTCCCTTGCCACGTTGTGAACATAAACAGCAGCATTGCACTAGGAACAAGTGACACCGACCGGTTGAGCTTCACCATTTTGTATGAAGCGGAAAAAAAAAAAGCAAACTGCTTTAGTAGGAGATAATTTCAATTATTTTCTTTAAAAAAAACCAAAACCCTCAAGCATGGGCTGTCATCTCAGCATTGTTCTCCCTCTCCCTTCTTAAAGGAAGAGTTCAGCTCCTGCAGTCTGAGCGCTACAGCAATGTTTGCCAAGTGGAAATATAGAGTGGGAGAAGAAACTGTTTATCCCCAGTGCTACTGAACCCCCAGAGTTTCAGGTCCCTTAGAGGAAAGCTCTTCTTACATAAGAAAGACAATTAGAATTGGCAAACTGATGCAAAATATTTATTCCAAGTTAGTTATTTTTGATGCAGTAGTTTTTCCCCCTCATACAGACTCAATGTGATAGTCACTTTTTAAAATCTGTAAATAATGTTATCAAAATAATCTTAATCTTTGAAATCTCACAAAAAATTTATATTTTACAATCCACCCTGAATATCAAGGCTGCAAGAAGAAGAACACAAACAATTCCTATATCCAAATATTTTACAGCTGTACCCAAAAAAAAAAAAAAAAAAAAAGAAAACCACAAACGCCTGGTTAAGTGATGAAGCTCCCCGAGCCGCCAAAAAAAAAATAAAATAAAATATCCATGTTATTAGCATTAATTTAACATAATTAGAACTTCAAAAGCCATTTTGTCATCGACAATGATTGTTTTAGCACACCGTTACCGCGCGGCACTGGGCAATGCGGCGGCACTGTTAGAAGCTTGTTGTTGCAGAGATCAGTCAGCCACTTGTGTCCTGCTCACACGACTGAACTTGTGCACTGCCCCACAAGGGATTTCTGTCAAAATTTGCTAGCTGCACAAACTTCTAGTAAGCATTAGGGCAAAACCAAAAGAAAAAGCTAAAGAAGCCAATTTCTCTCTTCTTTGGGATACAATCATTTCCCTTGTGCATGAAGTATCAACAACAAAAGAAAAAACTGAACAGACTGGAGACAGAATAAACTCTGTTTAGTTTATACAACCCCAAACACGTGTTGAACTATGAACTGAGTTTATTGGGTTGGTTTTATTAATTTTAATTTTATTGTGCCCAGTTTCAGGCATCGTCATCTGACGTTTCGCTGCTACTAGTTTCTGTGTCTGAGTCCTCAATCTTTGTCTTAAAAGTGCTTCTCCAGTGGAACAACAGGCTGGAGCCGCGGCCCTGAAGAAATCCATTCTTCCCAAATCCATTTCTTCTTCGCTGTAGGAATGAAAGCAAGTTTTAAAACAAGTAAAGTTGTGGGCAGTAACTGTCCCTAACCATGCACGGACACAAATTACATATTTAAGTGTGTATACACACACACTCTGCTTGGATAATGCAGAGCCATCAATTCTACTACAGTCTCACTTCAACTCTTTGCCTTCCTTGAGCATCCTTGACCCCATAGAAGACTTGTGCATGAGGAGGGAGAAGAGCAGTCACAAGTGGCAAGAGGTGTAAACATACCTGCTCTGATTTAATCTGGAACTCTTTGAGCTCATCCTCCGTGAGGGGAAGGTAGTTTTCATCATTTTCAGGATATTCCTGCCATCCCATTTCTTTCAATAACCTGATTGTGGAGAAAATAAAAGGGGCGTGGGAACTTAAGCAGGGGAACAGTGGCGAAGGAGAGAACCCTTTGTCCGTGAAGCACGAGGTTTTGTACTAAATCACCCTGAATTCACCAGGGAATCTTCTCTGTCAGAGACCATTTCAACAATCTTTTGTGTTTACCCAACATTTTTCAATGTCTTTTACAAATATTTAACCATCAGCAGCCCTGTACAATGGGTACATTACCAGCCTGGCGGAAGGCAGAGATTTCAAATTCCAGCCCAAGGACACTGAAGGAGGACATGAGGCAACCAAACCAGTATCACAGCTCAGGATCTCCCTAAACCTCACTATCCGCTTGCACCAGATGCTCACAGTGCTTACTCACTGACGTGAGATACAGACTGAGATACCAGGCAAATATTTTCTTAGCTCTCCTCCACTTCTGCAGCATGTAAAGCAGCACAGGAGTATTCTAAATGCAAACTAAGTGTGGTGTGTGTGTCCTCAAACCATTCCATTCAGGACATCTGCTTGTAAATTAATGAGAATCACACCAGGTTCATGCTGACTCCCAGTGTGGGCAAGTAAATAT